GTACTGCTGACCCCAAACTGTTTTGAGAGAGCCAGTTTGTCAGGGGAGTCAACAATGTTGTGTAACCTTCAGTCTCTAAAGGAATGCCTTGGATAATGAAATAAAGAATTAGAATCCTGTGGGATCACTGTGTGAAAAAATATTATTACAACAAATAATGTTTATATTAGTAGATAACAGTTGATTAGTTAACAGATACTTTGTGATGAGCTCAAAGCAATAGTTTCACATTTTGGAAAGTATGCTTATTTGCTTTCTTGCCAAGAGTTAGATGTGAACATTGATGCCACTCTCACGACTATGGGCAAATATGAAGCTACAGGCAGTTAGCTTAGCTTAGCACAAAGACTGGAAACATGGCGAAACAGCTATTCTCGCTCTGTCAACAAAATATAGATATAAAACATCAGGGAGTGAGCTTTGCTAGTACTGTAGGTGTATATGTTACCTTTATACAGAGCCAGGCTAGCTCATTCACCCTGTTTCAATTTTTTATGCTAAGGTAAGCCCACCGGCAGCTGAATGTAACCTTTAATTTAATGGGCAGATATAACAGTGTCAATCTTCCCATTCAACTCTGCTGCTTGATTGCGAGACAACACAAGCAGTGATCTTGATCAGGGCAGTCGTTGTTGGCCACTACACTGCTTTGCTTGTTTATTCCCCACCTGCCATCTCATCTCCTCTTATCCCTCAGCCTTTGAAAGCCTCATGCATTTTGTTTCACAGGTCATCTCACTCGCCGGGCTGAACTCCTTTCGAGTGCGAAACGAGAGGCCATTTCAGAGCACAAATCCTGTTTGATGCTGCCATGCAGAGCAACACAGATCAGTTGGTGAGGGAGTTAGACGAGTAGCGCTTGTCTAAGACGATGTCACTGGGAGAAGTGGAGAAGTGGGTATTTATGTGTGTTCATGTAACTGCGGGGTGGGGAAAATGTGGTAGGAGGGCTGATGTTAAGCTATCAGGGAAGAGACACTCAGCCTCTTAGCTTGAGCAACTGCAACAGCATCAGTGGCTGCAGGAATGAGAGGAATAGCAATGGACACGCTATCTGCAACGAGTCTGCTATTTCTGTGTGCTGCTCAAGGCACATACACCATCCAGTAAGGAAATGATCAAATGGTGCTTCAAAGACTTGCTGTGTGTGTTGGGTGTGATGGTACTGATAGCTAGGTATGTTATCGATGTAGGTCACACCGGAAAGTTTGTGATCCTGGTAGAGTATAGTTGCAAAATAGATTCAGTAGTCAATGATAGTTGGTGTCTGTGTAGGAATGTCGCATCATGTTGTGTCTTTATATATAGCTCAATATGACAATGATATTATATTACAAGAAAGTATGACTTAAACGCAGGTTCATTTTTATATTAACATTTTGTGAGAAGATAATTTAATCAATACGGCGAGGCATGGAGCTCAACTCATCAAACACGCCGATGCTGCCGAGATCTTCACAATTCCCCAATAATGACAGTGCGATAGTCACACCTATATACTGTTCAAAGGCCATAACGTATTCTGAAATTTCAAAGACGAAGTGTAACACTTACATCTAGAATGCATCCAAATAAGATGGTGACAGTGCTCAGTAGTCTTCGCTGAGGAATGTATAGAATATTTTATTTTAATTCACTATATAGATGGAAATATATAATCTGACAATCCTGATAATAACTTATCATGGACGCACTAAGAGATCGACCTTATTATAACAGATTGATTGTTGTAAGTCTCTAGATAGAAGATAAAACAAACTATTATTACACCCATATACAAATCCTTGTAGGCTTGTTATCAAAAGATGGAATATGAGTGACAACTTGATAAGAGATAGCATGATGCAAGATAAAAATAGACTCAAGAAAAACTCTTTCCATACTGAAGGGCAACCTGAGCAGGAAGTCAGATGAGACCAAAAATCGTACAATCACTAGACATTATGTGTTATGGAAAGAGGGACGAGAATACAAGAGCAAAATATCGCAGTTTTATGTGGCTATTCACGGGGATCAAGGTGGTTGCGCGCCAGATGTAGAATAAATGAGCAAGAAGAAGAGAGGAGAGAGAGAAGAAGAGTAGAGAAGGGTGTGAAGGTCGCGCGGTCGCTGTTCGTGGTGTGCTGTTCATGCTGGTATATAAACATATACTCTGACCTGGTCGTCCATACGCCCTGACCTCTCTGCCATCACTCGAGAGGGAAGAGACAGAGCGAGGTCGCTACCAGGGTCCTTTTCCTTGTGTGGCCGCATGATCATATGCTGTGTAAGCACTTGTCTAACCATGCTTACATTTTCCGCAGACGATGATCCAAACAGGAGTATCGTATGGTCATATGAGCCATCGTACTCACAGAGTTACCATCTCGCTCATGATGAACTCGATTCGACTTGCGCTATACCTGCACAGCTGCCAACGTGAATGCAATATGCATCCTCTCATGCGTTTCTGCCAGTCTGCGAACCACACTCGCATGGGCTGCTGTTTGTTTCAGCAAAGCGCCCACGCACTATGGGGTTGAGTGCTTCTTGTATCTGGTATCTGTTGTGGTGAGGGGGGAGGTGGGAAGAGGATCGTAGAATGTCATTGATGTGTACGCTCGTGTATTGTCGTCGTATACTCTGAGCTTCCCAAGTCTACTGGTCTTTGCAACAGCGTTTGAGATAAAATCTAAGAAAGAGAATAAGCAAGGAGAGGAGAGAATTGAACCCGTAGAGAGAGAGAAGACATTACTGTCCGCCTCTCAGCCAGAGAGACAGGTTCGGAGAGCTGCTCTTTCTTACATCATCTTGGCTCTTGACCACGCGCGTCTTGCGCGTCGCGCTCGCGTACGCTCCTCTCTCCTTTTCGTGATCTTGATCCAAGGCTCATTTTCTATTTTCTCTGTTGTTAAACGCCGCATCTCTACTGAATCATCGACGCGATTTCAGAGATCAGACGTTCTCACTACCACTCGGGTTCCCACCATCTTGGCTTTCCCACGCTCCGAGTGGTCTAGCATTGGGCGTCAAGAGTTTCGGACATCTATAGGCGAGACAACTGCGCTCACACACAAACAACGACTCAGGGAACCGTCTCTCGCTGAAGAGGGCGCCTCTCTAGACCAAATAATCTTGTCTTTCTAGATATCCGACTCTGTCCCTCTTCGATCGCATAAAAAAGACTTTCATCAGACACCAGGTGTATGCATTTATTGCACTGGGATCAAAGGGTAAGTGCTATTTTGCAATACAGCCATGAACTGCAATACGAACGCGAATCATTGGCAAAGGTCATCATGGAACAAAAAATCCTGGTCGCGCGACTACATTTAAGCAAGATAACAAATGGTACAGGGCTGCTATCGGTCGAGACATTGCTTATAGATTGCTCGGGCTACAATATTACCCGTAAACAGAATATTCAGTGAAAGATCCACCTAATATCAGAGTCTATACGATTCGCACAATACGAATTAGAACCGTCTGCTGATGGTACTCGCGATAGAGAGCCCAAATCATAGATAATATATCATAGACATTCCTATATGAGGATTTCTATAAGCTCTGAGGGCATGTATTCTTAGCTGATGTTGTTGTGAGATAGAAGTTATACTGGAGCTGTGATGACGCACAGACTCAAGTGTCATTAGTCTTACAATCTGACCTTGCCTATAGCTAGAAGACCCGTGGCTGCTAGTGTTAACCAGCGTGGTGACAAGTTTATGATACGAGCATGGCATGAACTACGCAGAGACTTGCAGTAAGCGCATCGCGACGTTAGCTTTGGACCTGCTTGCGTCGAGGCGCTATAATTAATCACTGTGTAGAATGAGACATCCTATTTTTTTGTATGCGCGTGACGATATAGACAGCGCAGATGTTGTCCTGAGGTTACAGAGTCCGCACTGCAGTAAGTGGGAACGCGTTGACATACGATGACCGCGCGAGAGTCTTGAAAAATGAGGAGAACGACAGCTGTTCATATCCGGCTGTGAGACACCAGGTGAAGTCAGCTGCCTCCTTCTCTAACATTCTCACACCGCTACCTAGAGAGACCATGCGATAGGATAATGGCACAACAAGAAGTCCCAGATAAATAAGAGCAATCAGGCAACGAGATAGATAAACTGGGCACCTAGGCTAGACCTGCCTCATTCCTTACTTGGTGCTCGTATGTGTACTAGTATTGACATGATAGTACCCATTCCCGACATTTTATGGCGGCATCCTTCCCCTACACCTCGCTCGCCTCATGCAACCATTTTGTGGTGATCATTCACGTCAGCTACCATCCTCTTGCTCTATGGATCAGAGCTGCAACATAAGACGTTGAGGTTCAAGCAAGCATTAGCAACAGACGGGTAATAATACGCATGGGCCCGTACTGAGGTACTCTTCCACGTTTTCGACTGTCAGTGTACATCATTCCAGTTTTACATCGGAAGCAGTGAAAGTGAAAGAAAATGCCAGTGAACCATGCAGGCCCTTTTGCAGAACAAAACGGCTGGTACCCAAGCTCTTCTGAAAAGCAGGCAAACTTAATATTTACCGACCACTATAATTCTTCTTCATAATTATACCTCTTTCGTCTCTGTCATCAGTTTTGTTTTGATGAAAGTAACCTCAATTTTATCTCTGTGGTGGTGGTGCTTAAAGCTGCAAAGAGGTGGTTGATATTGATCCCATAATGCATATCCAGGTTTGATGTATGGCTTATGAAAGGACTTTTGATATCTTCCCTCCACAGTCGAGTCCTGCCTCCCACTGTTCAGGTAGAACCGTAATGGCCTGTTGGATCAATGACCAATAATCAGGGAGACACAAAGAGCTTCTGTTCTTTCCCTTTTACTCCACAACCAGGACAATCTGATGGAACAAAAGAACCTGGAAAGGCAGCATGTTTTCTTCTACAAGAAGCAATTAACTAACCTTTTTTCCAACGTAATGAGAAATAACGTCCAGTGGCTTCATTTACAAGACGGCATTGATTGTCCTCTCTTCTCCTCTTCTCTTGTCAGGCTTAACCAACGGAGACACTGTGGTGAATATGAGGAAGGTGACCCATCAGACCATAAGTGAGGAGCTGTCCAAAACCGTTCTCCTCCCCTGCCTCTTCACCCTCCGCCCCAGTTCATCCCATGAGCCCCCCAGAATCAAGTGGACCAAGGTTTGGGGCCAGAGAGGCTCTGACGGCCTGCAGAAGGAACAGTCGGTCCTGGTGGCCAAAGACAATGTGGTCAAGGTACAATAAAGGCTGAGATGGACTGCTGTGAAATGTTTGGTGTCACATTTTTGCAAGAATACAATAAGCTCAGACGTGTTTAATTTGTTTCCCCTTTCTCATTTCTTTATCCCCCCATAGGTGAAGAAGGCCTTCCAGGGTCGTGTAACCCTGCCTGGTTACAATGAGAACCGCTACAACGCCAGTCTTGCTCTGTCAGGGCTACGTTCCAGCGACTCTGGTCTGTACCGCTGTGAGGTCGTCGTGGGCATCAATGACGAGCAGGACACAGTTCCCCTGGAGGTCACAGGTGAATAAAATTCTTCTAATTAAGGCAGCAATTTTGAATTTAAGTCTCAGTGGGAAATTTCACGCTAGAGCAAACCTAGCTGTATGCTAGAAGCAGTAAACATTCATTTATCAATCATCATTATTTGGACAAATACGAGCATGATTTGTGACATTACAAATAGTTTGGAAGTCGACCTGGTCCAGTATGCAGCTTATTCAAGTGTGATGTAGAAACTTGAATCCACCAGTGCACATACACTGAGAATGGACTTTACAGTAAAGTAGGAGACATCTTGTGTCCAGCAGGAAAACTTTTAAACCAAATTATCATATAGATTCAGATTTTTAATGAGGTAGCCAGAGTAGATGCCTTTTTAAAGATTTTGATGTACAAATTTAATGTAGACGCACTTTATTGTTCCAAGCAGGCTATTTGTATATGTCTTAATACATGTCTGGAGGGGCTCTTTAATTTTCTGCGTAATGTAATAAACACTTTGGTCCACATATTGAGGAGACAAGCTATTAGTAGTCAGGTAGCTAGCTGCTACAGGCTAGTCTGCTTGCTTCCTGGGAGTTGTTCTTGAGAATTATTTAGTATTTTGTAACTAAATGATTAAGAAAACCCAACAATTAGCCGGTTGCCAGTTAATAAAGCTCTACATTTGCTGTGCTAAAAACCACTTGTGATTTGCAACCATTTGCAGAAGCTAAAACTTTACTCAAAGGACCTGTCTTGAAAGGCAGGAGCTGAGGGACAATGGCTAGTATGGGTTCTAAGTTAATGAAAGTTTCATTTACTTTCTATCATTAATTATCAAGATAGCACCCATAGTGGGATTTGTTCTAATCTGATAGCTATGTATTGCAGTATGTCACACAGAAATAATTAACACTGGACAGTCACACCACTAAAGCATTATTGGAATAGAGAGAGAAAGAATGAGCAAGCAATTGATGATTATTTCTGTGATTCAGTATCATCTCGTAGCAATTTTAATATTACCATCAATTGATGAGTAGTGATGTACAAAGTAATTAACACCATTTATGTCATCCTAGACGTTATGCATGTCTTTTTTCACCTATACAAAGTATTGTTTCAGCGAATCAACACTCCAGTCTTTGGTTGTGTACAGCTCCCCCATTTCTCTCAAGGGTTGCCACTATGAATAATAATGACTCTGTTTTCCATGTAATACAGCCATTACACCCTGAGCTGTTTACTGTCCGTGTAGAAAGTACGATGATAGGGAAAAGGTGAGAGAACTAGAACACATTAAACATCATTGACCTGGGCCACTCAGGTGCTGTTCATGCACTGAAACCCTAATGAAACCAATAAGGTAGGAACCCAGCAGCGTATGCTCTTGTCAAATAGTGTTACACCGACAGCTTTGTATGGCTCTCGGTGGCTTAACTAAATGGGCAAACCATTTATTGCATTAGCTGTATCCAGGACATGCGTATTTGTAGAATTATGAGACTACCTGGAGGTAGCTCACTGTAGTAGAACCATAATTACTGTGTCAGAGTATTTTAGCTGCAGAGCTTTCATCAGATTCTTTCCAGGTCACTCACTATTTTTAATAATAAGCTATTATCATAATGACCACAGGGAATCACACAATGCATTAGCCAGTATACACTATGCTGCAGCTTCCACAAATCCTTGCTAGTGTTGCTAACATCAGCTCTAAAAGCCCAGTAGCCTTATTCTTTTACCCAGACACACCATGCTACAATGGCTACATCGTGTGTCATTAAGAGTAACACATATAGCCTCCACTCCACTGCCTGCTTATAGCTCAGATGTGAATATGTGCAAGTGTGTATATGTACATGGGAACATTTCCGTGTGTGTGTGTCTGTACATGCCACTATGTCTTTATACAGTTCGACAAGGGTGCTATCTGGTTTTCTCAAGCAAGCGGAGTACCTCATCTTTCTCCATAAAAGCAGTATAACATTTAGTAAGCAAGGCCGCTGTCGCAATGCTTGGGAGACCCTGCGTCCTCCCCCTCTTGGCCAATCGATTAACACGCTATGAAAACCACTCCTTCAGAGAGAAACCAATTACGTAGCTGGCGAGGAGTAGCCATCTCCAGGGCTTAGTCTTAATTGGCAGTCACGCTACATGGCAGACCACAGCCGTCCTCACACTAATTCTACTGAGTGCTTAACGTATTAATTAGCAGGTATTGATACTGTTCAGCTATATCAATATCATATTAATCCACATTGCTCTTCTCATAGGCCCATTTGTGTGTGTCCAAATGTCTTTTCACTCTAGCCATCTCTTTCTTAATTTCTCCCCTGCTGCCTCTGTCTTAGTCACTTCTTGTTTTGTCTCTATTTTGTTTTGTGTCAGGACATATTGACTGGTCAATTGGCTGTGTCTCAGCAATTAGAACACTGCGCAATTGATTGTGTGTGTCAGCCATTGTCTTTGGTGAGATATGACTGTCCACCATTAACTGGTCCGAGGACAATAGGTAGTATATCGGCACTGGGCATTGTGAAAAGCATATTGTTGTTTCCACAACTTCTGCATAAGGTAGTTTCATCAAGGTGCTTCACAGTTGCAAAGTTAAACTGTTTCTATACCATTATTATTACCGTAATATTTATACTTTTGTACACAAAAAGTGAGGAGAATTAAAATTTCAGTTTGACTTCAAACAAAGTAAATGTTGTTCTGTACAGTATACGTTGTAATGCAGTGTAGTGTGCTAAACAGTGCTGCCAAGGGACACCAACTGCTACAATGAGGGCATCATACATAAAGTATGTGGTCTACCCACAACTGGTGCCTTCCTGTTCCTCCCCCTGGAGACGGTGTAGGGATCTGTGAGGAAGCAGAGGGTAAAAATAGAGGCATGAGGTATTGGGCATTCAACCCTCATGTGAAATAGGACTGGGTTTCCCGTAGTGAGAGGAAACCCATTTGTCTCTCTAGTGTATGTGTTAGCCAGCGAGCTAGCATCTCTGTTTGGACAAGATCCCACAGCCTCAAAGGAGAATGGATGGAAACTGAGAAATTATGAGAAGAAATGGAGCAAAAAAGGGACAATTTCTGCTCCACATATTTGTGAAGAGGAGAATAAGACTAATATGACAGAATGGCTTGATGGACTGCTGGGATTATGGGAACTGTGTGTGTATGTGTGTGTGTGTGTGTGTGTGTGTCAGACACACACACACACACGGCCCTGCTTGCTTTCTTCGCCCATAGCCTGGAGTGCTAATGCTCATATTGCCACGCAGGCCTCCATCTCGCAGGAATCTCTGTCACTCTTGCAGACAAAGCCAGGGAAGATAAAGGAGCCGTGTTAGTAGCCAGACGCCCACTGGCTTTCATGTCGCTGGATGCTCCTCAGGGGTGCAGCACTGTGTGACTGGCAGGCAGAGGTGGGAGGTGAGGGAACGTTAGATGGACACTTCTGAGGCAATTCCTTTCCCATTTAAGTGGAATATATGCTCTTCTCACAGCTAAGGGAATTGTGTCTCACTTTATTCCCAGTAGATTTTTAGCTTTTTACTTCTTCCAATTGTTATAACCTGATTTTTTGTATTCCTGTCTATTCCTGTGGTTCAATACATGCATCTCTTTGTCTGCTTTCGTTTTCTTTCCATCATGATTGCACCAGCAGGCGTCGTGCAGCAGACATTGTGTGTGTACTGCTAAAGAAGTAAAATAAACAACACACTGTATCCAAGGGTCAACATCTCTTTTCTCTAGTGATAAGCCGACCGACTGCTTGATGCAAATGAGGCTCACGTATGCAGGTAGCTGAACCTGAATGCGGTACAGATGGAACAATGTCAGTACATGATGAGGATGTCTAGAGGGCTTTGTGTTTATGTATCTGTGAGCGTGTACATGCTCCTGTTTTAATGGTTCAAGGTTGCAGGTCATAAATTGATGCCATTAGTTTCTGGAGTATTTGCTATCACATGCTGTATCTCTTTGCTCCAGGCGTGGTATTTCACTACCGGGCTCCGCACGACCGTTATGCCCTGTCCTTCGCTGATGCCAAGAGGGTGTGTGTAGAGAACTCAGCGGCCATTGCAACGCCAGGTCAGCTGCAGGCCACCTTCGCCGATGGGTATGACAACTGTGATGCTGGCTGGCTGTCTGACCAGACAGTACGGTAAGGTTTAAACTTTGCATACTTACAGTATCAGGTTCTAAGGCTGTAGTTTGTTTCTGCTGGAATAACTCAAGAGGACACACTCTACTGTCACTATGGTTACTAGTGTGATACAGAGAAGTGTCTTTGATACTGGAAGTGTGTTTATAGCCAAGTATTGAATGTATACAGAAGAAAATAAATAAGAAAAGAAACAGTGAAGAAGACTAATTAGCCTTTTGGTTAGAGTTGGCATGTCAACAAATAAAACACAGCCACCCATTATGGGAGTTCTGAAAATGAGCTCCTCTTTGAATGATGAAAGCACTTCCTGTAAAAGATGCAGCACCAGCCACTGGACAAAGCCTCAGACATGTGTCTGTCCTGTAGCCATCCTCTGGTATTTAAGTAGAAATTAGGTGGCCTGTACCATATTAAAATGCTTTGGGATTATTTCTTTGATTTAATGAGAGCTGAGAAGCCAACAAAATGTTACCTCATCCATAGCTCCTGATTGTCACATACATTGTAGCTGCATTTGAATATCCTGTGCTAGACAGTAATTACCAGTCTTGGAGTTAAAGTAACAAGGTCTGCTGACAGCTCTTGTTTGTTGGACCAGGTTGCTATTTTAAAATCTCTATCAGGCAGTTTTTTCAGCCTAACATTTTTGATAATTTGCCACATGATCAAACGCAAACTAAAAATATGTCTAAAAAAGTTGATGAACTATGTAGAAGTATGAAGTATGGCAGCATGAAAGTCATTTTTTATCTTTTTGGTGTTTTTATAAACACAAAACTGTGCAACATAATTGGACCTAATTGCTTGTTTGCACACTGGAAAGGCAGTTAACTACAACTGCCCCCTCGGAGCTGTCTGTCAGGCTGCTGCGTGTGCTTCAGCTTGCCACCTTCCATAAAGTCTCTCTTAATTTTACCAGTCAGAGCTCGTCTCTCGACAGTGTTCTCCATATCTACATTTTAATTTCAAATCACTGTTGCTCCAGTAGACAAGCAGATTGACTGTTGTCTTCCTGACAGTTTTTCACAACCTTCCTGCGGTGCAGCTTCCTTCTTTCTCTCCTTCCATCCTGCACTCCTGTTGTTTTCACTCGGGAGCTATCTAATTGGTCCAGATCCAGTAGGCTCCGACTGCACATCAGCCAGGAGGAAAATGTCCAATTAAAACAGACATCAGCCGTCGCTTCATCAGCCACCAAGCAGAAATAAAGAGGCTGAGGCAGAGGACACTACAAGACTTAGTTCTCTTGTTATACTTTGATGAAAACAGTTTGCTATTTAAGAAAAGGGCTGCAGGTTTGTGGTTATATGCAGGCATATGTGTCTTCTTCATTGGTGTTTGTGTGTATGTCTTTTCCAAGTACTTCATAAATCCCTGTATACCCAGCGTAATCTTTTAATCAGCCTCTTTGCCTGTGCCCTGGTGCTGCTGGAATCAATGTTCTTGTGGAATAATTGCTCAGTTGGAGCCTGAATATAGATCGCCGTTTTCTCAGCCCCAAAGGCATGCCAAGTCACTGAAGGAATTCCTGATTCTTTTAACCTCTCCTTGACTTCCTATTTCTACACCCTCTTTCTCTAAAGCTGTAACATTACTGGAATTCTTGTATTGCCAGAGCATTAAATACATTTCAAAACAACTTTAAGTAAAATGGTTGCGTAAATATTCTGTGAAACTCACACTGAGGGCAGAATAATTAAAATAAGCAAGATATTGTATCTATTGAATTGCTTTCCAATTGTTATCCTGAGGTTGTTTTGACGTGCAATGCAACGTGAGTTATTGTAAACCTTGCTTTGGCATTCCAGCTAGTTTCAGCAGGGATATTTATGTGTTTATTTTTCCTTATTCTTTGGGTAATATATTTGGGTAATCTCTGGAAGGAGGATATACTTAAACTCATTGTATTCGGGGCAGGAGATGATAAAAGTGTAGTGCAGTTTTCATCTTATTCTGTATGCATGTGAACGCAGACTCATCCCCAGGGAGCCAAGTTTGTCTGTGGCTGCCGTTTTCATGGCCAGGCTATATTAATCTCCCTATCTCACTCCCTCTGTCTCTGTCCCTGTCTCTTGGTTTTCTTTGCAGGTATCCCATCCAGTCGCCCCGGCCTGGTTGCTATGGAGATCGCGAGGACTCACCTGGAGTCCGTAACTACGGCAATAGGTCCCCTGATGAGCTGTTTGATGTCTACTGCTTTGCTAAGCAGCTTCAAGGTAGGAGTCAGGAGCCTTGACCATAAATTTGGATTTAGTCATGCATGGGTCCACTAAGCCGTGGGTGTGCAGCGCAAGAACGCTGTGACCAGGACTTAATACTCTGTTAGCACAGAAAGGAAGAGGGTAGTAGGAGAGGGAGGGGAGGAGAGCTTGTGGAAGTGAGAGGGAGAAAGAGTGACAATACCTCCTTCAACCAGGCTGTTTTATGAGCAATAGTTTGTATACAGAGAGTTCAGCCAAAAACAAAAGAGCAAACGTTAGCATGTCCAGCTTATTAGCTTCCTACCTACAGTTGTAACCTAACTGAGCGTTACTTTGGGGTAGCATGTCATATTACATTAAGATCAACGTGTCTTGAGGTGAGGATGCAGACTTTTTACCTGGTGCACGCAGCTTTAAGTGCAGTCTTTTAGCATGTATGTGATCATACAGTATGTAGATGTATGTATGTATATTTAAGGCCATTTTACCAAGCTCTCCTTTTAAAAAGAGTCAGCTGGAAGGATAACCAAGTCAGCTGGAGACAGACCAGCTCCACCAACTCTTAGAGTTAACGTTGGTTGAGTAGCAAGCCACAGCTGATCAAATCAGCCAGCAACAAATGACATATCAGCCATCAAAATCGAGGGATGTCAGCAAGAAAGGAGAGGCCTGCTGTTGCTTACGTCTCTGTAAAATATAAAACCTACTTCCCAAGAATTTTGAGTGGTAAATCTACCACCGCTGTCCTTGTAAATTGCATATGCACTGTGCTAGAGGGGAAAGCTTGACAGGCATAGCAACAGTAACTAAGGTGGTGGGGCTTAGCGAACAGTTGATGTGCTACTGGGCACAGCAATATGAAAGGGAGATCCATCAAAGCTCCACTAAATCTAAACAGTTTTGAAGCTTAATGGGAGTTTATGGATTTACACCTACTTCCAGTTAAGGGAGATGGAGATCTATATTTAATTTAATCAATGTGCACATAACTGGAGGTTATGTGACTGAAGTGTCTGGTTGCCTATATACGTTCCCTATATATGTATACTCCTTAGATGTTTAGATTCTTACATAGGCAGTCAAGTCCACTCATCACCCCCCCCACTCCCTGCTGTGCTGAGCTTTCCTAAACGGCAAAAACACTGCACATATTCTACATTCACATTACAATCATGTCGATATTATTTATTTTCAAGTTGACAGACTTGAAATACCATTAGTTGTTTGTAGTAGTTTTTTGCATATGTTTGCACAGCAGGTTTTTAAATACCAATCAGAAACACTACAGGGTTTGGTTTATCTGGGCCACTTGTTATGAGGTGGTACGACTACAACTGTTATTAAGCATAATACTAGTAGTATTTACCAGAGCTATTAGTAGACAATATGAACGAGACTGAGGTCCTGAGCAGAGAATCTCACATGACCACCTGTAGACTGTATTTATTTGTGACTTTACAGTAGAATTTAGTGAAATTAACAACCTGATTGAAACAATCAAGAGATAATTATCTTCTAATCAAACTACAAACTGTTTTCTCTCTTATTTTGTGGAGAAAAAATAACTAGAAGCTTCATCAATAAACTCTGTTGTTCAATACACAGCCATGTACCGTAGAAGACCTTTCAGTATGGTTTGGTTTACAGTCATTACATTCATACATACATTAAATGTATTTGATTTAATTTTTTTCCGCTCTGTCATACTTACAGACATTACACACATTACATACATAAATCAGTGTTAAAAAGCACATTTTCACCATCCTTCCAATAAATATTTCAGTCATCTTCTGGCATTTCTTCTCACACATCATTCCTCACATAATCCCACTCTGCCTCTTTTCTTCGTTCATTTTGTTCGCATCTTCACCCTTTACCCTTCACCTCCCTGTCTCAGTTCAATAAATCAGCTCCAACATTCTTTACTCTCGTGGATCCTCATATCCAACTTATTCATCTGTTCTCCGCTCGTCATTCTCACTGTCCACTCCTCTAGCTCATATTTTTTTCATCACACACTGAACTGCCAGTGGATTTTCTGATCATATAATTTTATTTGTGCTGCACAGACACAGTGGTCCTTTTGAGCTATCTCTGTCTTGCTTGCTAAAACCCAATTTTTGCATCACTGCTGTATTTTATCCATGCCAACTCCACCCCACCTTTCTTCAGCTTCTCCTTTCTTCTTCTCCTTCAGTCGCAGTCTGTGTACTAGTCTCTCTCTTAGATGCCTCTTTGCAACTGCTTTGAATTCAAAGAATTGTCTTTATATAGTCTGTTCTTTGAATCGTTGATGTTTCTTATTATTTTTGTGCAAAAAATAAAGTGCATTCTTATGCATGGCAAGTAAAACTTGTCTTTCATCACACTACTTCAAGTCTCCACCTCTTATTGCTTTGACAAAGTTGACAAAGGAGAAAAAGGGAATGGCTAGAACTTATTGCCTTTTAAGTAAAATACTGACAGGCTCATGCCTGCACACACAACAAAAAACAGACAAAGACTCCTCAAATGTATCTACATCCCTTTGTACAACCCAGAAAAAACTCTTTCAAAAATCTGAAATCCTAAACTAACTTAAGAAATACAATTTTACTCGGAGTGTTAAAAATGCCTACACTTTAACACCCTAAACTGAACTCCATGTCTCCCTCCTCCTCCTCCTCCTCCTCCTCCCAGGTGAAGTGTCCCACTCCGCAGTGCCGGAGAAGTTGAGCCTGGCTACAGCTTCCACCCACTGCCATTCCCTGGGAGCGCAGCTGGCCACCGTTGGTCAACTCTACCTCGCCTGGCAGGCCGGCCTGGACCAGTGTGACCCCGGCTGGCTGGCTGATGGCAGCGTCCGCTACCCTATCAACGTCCCACGCAAAAACTGCGGTGGAGACGAGCCAGGAGTGCGGACAGTGTACAACAACCCCAACCGTACTGGCTTTCCCGACACCACAGCCCTGTTCGACGCCTACTGCTACGGAGGTACTGATAAACGTGATGCACCATCAGGGTGGTAATTGCTATGGTAACAAGGGGGGGTGGGTCTGGGGACTTGCTTTCCGTTCTGGTTATTAATTATTGCGAGATGTTTGTGTCACACATGAAGTAGTTGCAAAGAGATTGTGTGACATTTGTGTCCTCCCCTGGTGAATTTGCGAGCTTGTATGCTGTGTGTAGTGAAGCCTGAGAGAGAGAGCGAGAGAGAGAGAGAGAGAGAGAGAGAGGGGAGAGTGAGGTAGAAAGTGAGAAAGCTAGAAAGACCGAGGGCATGAATAAGACCAACTGGGGTTTGCAGTGACTCTGTGTCTGACCTTGTCTTTTATCATGTGCCAACTGAGACTGGAATAAGTTAGTTTCATCTTCACTTTGGACTGACTTCATACCACATTCTGTTCACTGATATTGTGTATTTCACAATTTACCACACCTATGATTCTGCATCCAGAGCTTATGTTTGTTTTTTTGCCTTCCATTGATTGTAACAGACTGCAGACTGATATTTGACAGCTATATTTCCACAGATAAGGACAAAAAGAATGACATTTTCATTTTTCACAGTGTCAGCTTATGGATGTTTTGTTGAAGCAAAACATCTGCATAACTCAATCATTTTAAGTAAACAAGAACAGCATGAGAGCAGAGCAGCAGTGCATTTGTCAAAATAAAACGGCTGATAGATGAACCTCTTCATTGCAACAGTTGTATGCACATTTACATTAATATTTAAAACAAATAATGTCTTTCACATAGTTTAAAGTAGATACAAATGGTAATATGTTTTGTTTAATGGCATACATTTGGTTGATGTAAATAATGTTCTTGATTCAATCTCATTATTATGACATGAACGCAATATATGCATGTTTATTCATTTAAAAATAATTGGATTTTGTAGTCGGAAAATCCGAGCCATGTTTTTCCCACAGCATGTTCTGAATTCAATCTTGTTTGCAAAGCCATAGCAGGTTTATTGCAATAGGAGGATAGAGGTAAAGTGAGGTTCAGTGCTGTGCTGTGCAGCAGCAGATTAAAGCAGGTCAAATGAAAAAACGGTGCCGTTTCTTTGCCTAAAATGTGGCTGTTGTGTGTTGCAGCCCACCAGCCAGCGGGGGTCCAGGCTGCAGAGGCACAGGCTTTGTATCAGACCGCCAACCCAGCACCTGAGGCCATCTCCTCAGTAACTGAAGCTCAGCATAGTGCCCCTTTTTCCAAGACTTCCACCTGGACTGGCCTGGTTGACTTGGACAATGCAGGAGTCCACTCCATTGCTGGAATCAACAACTCCTCTGAGATTTCTGAAGAGCATGTCGTCATCCATTTGAGGTCAGAGGAAGGCTGGGATGAAAAACAGGATGGACCCAGAACCAGTCAGGAGGAATCTGATGACCCAAAGAGCAGCAACAGCTTTGGCCTTTCTGACCCCGGGAACCTGGAGAGCCATGGGGGTTCTGCTCATGAAGAAGAAGATGGTGGTTATTTTGAATCATCTGACACCCCAACATTATCCTCTATAGATTCTTCCACTCCCCAGCTTCAGACTAGTAATGGTGTGTTGGCTGAGTTTGTTAACACTCTGATGAGGCCCTTCAGGTACTGGACCGGAGGTGAGGAGGTGGAGGGGACAGAAAAGGGACCTTCAGTGCTTAAGGAAAAGGCAGGACAGAACCAAACACAGACAGAAGCATCCAGTAGAAACCTGAGTATACCAAAACCCAGTGGAAACAAGGGCAGCATGGACAACGCCATCATGGAGCACAGGAGTGATAGTTTTTCCTTCAGGGCTCCTGCCAGTGGACGTCAGAGTCCAGAGGAAGGTCTGTCTGAGCGGGAGAAAGAGGTGATGCCACTGATTCGATTAGTGCCTGCAGTCCAACACATAGGGCAAAGTGACACCGTGACACAGCCAGGAGAACGAGCCTCCAGCCCTCCATCCACTGTTAAAGGTATGAGCTTCACCTTTGACCTTTAAAACTAATAACTGAGTGTGAAATTGAAACAGAAATTAGGGTAAATTGAAACAGTTCTATGTCAAACAGAGCGTGGTGTATTTAAATGTTGCTGGTAAATATAGGATCTGTTTATGTCATGCTTTTCAAATAGTCTCTGTCTCTCTATTCCTCTCTCTCTTTTTTTCCCTCGAGTATGCTATAATATATTCCTCCACAGGGCAATTTGAAGTATTGCTGTAGATTTAATTAAACAGTAATTGCAAACAAACAAAAGGGGCATACCACGTACAGTAATGCAACATGTTGCAGTGGAGACTGTTCTGCCTTCATTCTCATATTTATTGACTTTGCTGTGTTTACAGTACAGGCTGTCAGGAAGAGTACAAGCTAAGCTTGAATTTTAATCTACTTTGATGCTATAAAAGGTTTGCTCTGATATGTATTTTTTGTTTAGAACAAAGCAGACCTGCATCACAAATTACAGCTTATTTTTAGGAGTCAAAGATGTGTTAGGCTTAAAAATTGACTGGTATTAGTCATGGAGAATAAATTAAACAGATGAGAAAAACAAAGGAACCTGAGCAGACAAGGATAAAAGTTTAAGAAATCTTTGTTTAGACACAAAAAAAGAAATTATCTGGGGAGTATGAGACGGTCTGCCAAATGCTGGGGTCAATTGCTAGTATGTACTGTGTGTGTGAGTGTGTGTTTGCGTGCGTGCCTTGTCAGGTAAGATCCACAGTGGAGTGAGTTAACCTCAGGAATAAAGCCGAACAACACACCCACAAGGATAGAAAAGGTCACCTGGTCACCATTTTCAGTTCACTTCTTTTTGAAAGCACCATGGCACCAAACTTAAAATCACTTCCTAACTTCCTGTACTTTATAACAGCAGGGGTAAAGGTAGACTAAAAATGACTGGAAGATTTCTGGATCAATAACTACCAGAGCAAGGCCCCTTCAGTAAAGCCTAAACTGAAGCTCAGGAACTGATCATCGGGCAGAAGTAGAGAAATGTACCGGATAGAAGCCGAAAAGAAAGTGTAGCTCAGCCTTAGGTGGAAGAAGGCAGCTTTTCCTTTAATGGCCATCACAAATAACACATCCTTGGCATCAGCTAAAGGGGAGGATACAAAGAAAGACTTAAGACTCCCACAGACAGCCAGAAGAATGATTCAATAAAGGTGATAGGCTTTTCTCACCAAGCAATTGCCGGCTTTATTAATATAAATACTCACCGCTGTGCTACCTGAAATCCGATGCCAACCCCCAAGGTATTAATGAAAATCCAAGCTTTAGTCCGCATGCATTATTCACAGCCGTATCCAATTAACGTGGAGGTTGGGCTACACTGCCGTCTGCTCTCACCTCCATCTATGTCTCTGCCAATTAGGCCCCGGTTCTCTGAAGGTAGGCGGTAATGATCACTACAGCGAGGATAAGGAACACAAGCGGGGGGATGAGTAGAGCGAAACAGAGGGAAGAAAGGGGAAGAAAGGGGAAGAAAGGGGAAGA